TGCCGTACAAAGCAAGACATTCACCGATTTCGTGCCACGAATCGCAGCCATGACTCGAAGCCAAGCTTGGAAGAAGAACAAGAGAGTCCATTTCGAGGATGACCGAGAGGACAGTGCAGTAGAGGCCGAGACTGAAGCTGAAACACTAGCCGCCAACTCATGGTAGAGCCACAGCGGACTAATGCCGAGGCACAACACTCGCCAAATGCCGACGATATCGACCCGGTAACAATACAGGAAGAGCGACGCCGACGAATTTCCAAAGCACAGGATGAAGAACTGAGATGGTCGATGCTTAAGGCTTTTCTCAGAGGAGAAACCACGAAAGTGAGCTATAAAGAAGCTCGAGACGCGTGGAAATGGTCTGACAAGTTCTTCCTACCCAGCGATAACATACTCTATTATGTGGGCCCAACTCGACGTAAGTCGGAAGATGACCAACCCGAGTTGGCGTTGGGACTTGTAGTACTGACAACAATGATTCAAGAAGTGCTGCAGAATTGTCATGACTCTATCGAAGGAGGACACCAAGGAGTCGTTCGATCGTATCAGGGGGTAAAACATGACTACTACTGGATTGGACTGTATGCAGATGTTGAAAAACATGTGAAGTCGTGCCTTGACTGTAGCTCGAGCAAGAGCGCACCGCAGCTCAAAGGCTACTCACCTGGTAACGTGCTTGCAGAACGACCATTCCAAGTAGTATCAATGGATTTCGTTATTCCACTGCCGAAGTCTCGTCGAGGCAATACAGCACTACTACTCTGTCAGTGCTCGTTCACGGGGTTCGTCATTGCTAAAGCAATATCAGACACCGATGCCCTAACTGTGGCCAAGGTCTTTGAAGAATGCATATACCGAAGATTCGGTGCACTTCATACGCCATGACCGTGACCCTCGCTTCATGAGTGAAGTATTTCAAGCATTTGCCGAATTGATTCAGCCGAGGTCACTGTCTACATTGAGCTATCGTCCACAAGCAAATGGTCAACAGGAGCGCTCAGTGAAGACAGTCATGCCGTCAGTGAAAGTCTATGTGGAAGACCCATTACAACAAGACTGGGACGAAATCGCAGAACGACTTGTATTTGCTATCAATAACTCGCATGACATGACGAGAAAGGAAACTCCATTTTACCTAGTGCACGGCTGGGAGGCTCAAACAACTTTGCGTGCTACCTAGTTGAAGCGCGGTATTGGTAAGCAGTCAGAGGCGTTGGCCTGGAGACGAGAAAGTAACCGCCAACAACAAGTGGCGCTCGAGATGGCTAAAGAATATCAAGCCACGGAGAAAGCAAGACGGGCACGAGAACAC